CATTTATTTACTTCCCACAGCTTGAAAGCATTCCACGATTTATCATCTTTTAAATATTATTACTCTGTCTGGCTGTACAAACTCCCAAACCAGACATACACTTAAATATCACTGCTAGGTCTAACTGTACAAAAACCCAGACCAGACAAAGACTTAAATATAACTTCTAGGTCTGGCTGTGCAAACACCCAAACAAACTTAAATATCACTGCTAGGTCTAACTGTACAAACTCCAAAACCAGACATACACTTAAATATCACTGTTAGGTCTAACTGTACAAAAACCCAGACCAGACAAAGACTTAAATATCACTGCTAGGTCTGGCTGTGCAAACACCCAAACAAACACTTAAATATCACTGCTAGGTCTAACTGTAAAAACACCCAAACCAGACATACACTAAGACTTAAATATCACTGCTGTGTCTGGCTGTGCAACCTCCCAAACAAGATGAAAACTTTGTAGTTTTTGTGGAGCAATCAGAGCGATAGATTAAAAGGATAATCTAAAGTTAACGTATATGAATTTCTGATTAACTTAATCTGTATACTAAGATCAAAAGAGCATTGAAGGAACCGCTGGAAGACAGCAAAACTATGTTTTGTAATTCCATCCTAAATCATTATGAAACATATGGTCTGAAAAGTTGTCGGGATGTGTCTTCCTCATCATTAATGCTCAGTTCACACAATCAAATTTGCATCAAATTTTTTATCATAGATTTGATGCGATTTTTGGTCTGACGCCTTGTTGCAACTTTCAACTTACCATTTGATCAAATTGTTGTAACTTTCAACTTAGCCATTTGATCAATTTCTCATTTTTGTCCGCACAGAAGAATAAACCCCGCATGTATGAACTCGGCATCAAGGAACGTATTTCATAGTGGATTCATATGAAATAGAATTATCATAATCTACTTTAGCTCCGCGGAGTATTCGTTTGATAGATGATAAGTTTTGATAGATGATAAGTTTTGATAGATGATAAGTTTTGATAGATGATAAGTTTTGATAGATGATAAGTTTTGATAGATGATAAGTTTTGATAGATGATAAGTTTTGATAGATGATAAGTTTTGATAGATGATAAGTTTTGATAGATGATAAGTTTTGATAGATGATAAGTTTTGATAGATGATAAGTTTTGATAGATGATAAGTTAGTTGCCTTTCCATGCGAAGATTACCGACTAAACTATTATTGCAGTTTTAAGGAAACGATCGAACGATAGAGATTTAAAATATGTCTCTTGCCGTTAAGTCTCATCGAGCATATGTCAACAACTGAATTGTATTTCTCACCAATGTCTTAAATGTCTTCTTGTTGTTTTTATCCGTAGTTGTCCCGCAGTCTCCGCTGTCCACATACTGACAAATCCAAGTCTCGATGTGTTCAGATTCTACATCCACAGCTTCCACTTCAGTGGAGCTGACAACAAAGATAACTACGTTTATGTCCACTGCGATGTCACCATCTGTCCCAAGACTTCTTGCCCTAACGGATGCAGCGTTCCAGGCCGAAGAAGACGGCGTAGCAACGCCAGTCCACTTGTGACATTGACCATCGGCCCATATATCTTTGTAGATGATAAATTACATTGAATTTAATTTAATGTCCAACAATATATGTTTCATCGGGATGCTGTAAATAGTACATAAGAATAAAAACATTGCACAAATACAGACACAAGACAAGAAATCGTTATACAGATCTATAGACTTACTTATTTCATTTTATTTACAAAATTCTATACGCATTTAAGCAGAAGTTTTCTTTATGATTGGAGTTGCAATACATCTTTATTGTTAGAATATTTCGCATTATTGTTTCCCTATATTCACGTCACACAAAGATCCACGAAATCTGGGATATTGTTAACAATGAAAGATGTAAAGGATCTGTGCATTTATTTAATCAGTTAATTGTACCACGGCAAAAATAAATGTCCATTAGGCTTGATGACATCATATGATATATGACTAATCCCTCGCGAATACTGCTCACTGCTGAATGATGACCTACTGTTCCAGTTTGTTTTTTTTTTATAAAATATAAATTAGGCTTCTGCAAAGGTAGATATTTTTGTGGAAGAATATGGGCCAATAATTTTATTATTTTTTTCTTTCTAATTTTTTTTTTTTTTTTGGAAAATTTTAATTTTGGGTTCCCTAGGTTTTTTTTTTTTTTTCATTTGTAATATTATTTTTGTTTTAACGTTCTCATACTCATACATTTTGCCATAGGAAAAGTTGAGCAGTATTGTGCGGGGAAAAAATCCTATGAAATGATTATATTTTATTATAAAAAGTTTTACATTTTTGTATGATGAAAATGAGCGAACCTTTGGCTTATTCAATTGACTCTTTTGAAATTCACCGTGATCATGCTGACCAAGCTTCTTATTATAACTAAATATTAAGGCACTTATTTTTTTTTAAAAATATTATTTATATTTTTTAAAATTGTGTTTGTTTTGTTGGTTTTTTTTAATAAGAGCGTGTAGATAATGTTTTTAAAACTATTTAATAAAAAATTTATTAGGAATACATAATTTTATCTTACATTTTTTTGGATTACATTCTTGATGCTTTTAATACATTCTCCGGTATTCAATAAAAGAAATATATTGTAAAATGTGGCAGTGTCAATCCGTTTATTATCTTTGTGTCCTATTAGTTGAAGCCAACCATTAAGTTGTCTTATAGTATCAATAAACCCGGTAGCAGGAATTGTGACTTCGCGGCTGTTGTGATCAATTAAGTTAATCGATCCCGATGGCTATATTTAAACAAATCATCAAAACAAATTTAAAATGAGATCAAAGTATTAAAATATTATTAGGTGGAGGATAAAAAAAAAGAGAGAGGGGGGGGTAATTTAAATCCACCAGAGGCAAACTCTAACATTTTAGAATTCTAACACTGTCCAATAATTGTCAACGCCCTTGGTAACTTAGCCTGCTATACAGAAATTCGGTCACTTCGATGAAGGCTAAACATATTTTAAAGGGTGTACCAAGGGGGTGGCTCCCCGAACCGCAACTGTGTTACGTCTTTAACCAGCAATATATAAGAAGATGACGATCTGTCGCGGTGAAGTTTGTTGTGCCCCCCCCCCACACACACACACTTTTTACTTGTTGCATTCAATAAAGTTACGTCGCTGGATTTCACACAAAGTCTGAAACATGACATGACGTGTTGGGTATTTGCGGTGATATGCAATATTCATCCTCACACATTTATCACTTTATAAGTAATTTCTTTCTTTTTTTTTTTCGGTCAAAAGTCTCAGAACAGATTATTACTGTAGAATCGATTATTGGCAACAGACATCAGGATATTTAGGAGAGACAGACGAAGAGCATATATATCCGCTTCAGAGATGTCATAATGTTTAGAAGGGACAGAGGGTCACGTTAGTGTATGGTTCAGACTATTTAGGTGATACAGAAGGTTGCTTTGTGTGCGTTTCAGAGAACACCTGTACAACATTTTTTTTTTAAATTCACGTTGCTACAATAACATATGTGTTCTCATATTCATCTGTAATGTGTGGGTTAGTAATTGAAAATAAAAAAAAACCTGACTTTTTCATCTTGTTATACGACCGCCGATACACGGGCTACGTTTATATGGCCTACCCTGTATGATGTAATATCAATTCAAATTCATTCCATTCTTATTTATAACGATGGAAGGACTAGGCGAAACGTCAAAAATGTGTATTTTATCTTTGAATTTAATCTTAACCATACAATTATTTTTACAAACAATCTTTTTGTTAGAACAAAATGTCTAAAATGGACATGACAGAGAAACGTCTACCAAACTGGGATTGAAACCGGGAAGGAATTTTAAAAACAAATGAAGGCCAAGGACATAGTTGGTAAATTCGTGTCAACTGCGAGACGCAAGCTAAGCCTACTTTTAATATAAATATGCTTCTCCGTGTATGTTTTTTATTCGTTCATTTGATCACACATTGCTAAACTGGACAGAAAATTGTCACAAGTTTACTGCTGTCTGGACATTTTTTGACGAGTTCGATAAAGTCTTGTCATATAACGACTCCATTGAGATTGAGCATCTGGTGACATTCCCCACGCGCCCCCACCCACCCCCAACCACCACCCCCACCCACCCCATCCCCATTAAATCATTTATAAAATAAACTATCCAGCAACGGGGGATGGTGCTGAAAATTGTGACAAATTTGATGACTGTGAGTGTCATCAACTGAAAGATGTATTCACTAAAGTAGTATAACATTGAACTAAATGAATGCTTCAAATCTCATGTATCATTGAACTAAATGAATGCTTCAAATCTCATGTATCATTGAACTAAATGAATGCTTCAAATCTCATGTATCATTGAACTAAATGAATGCTTCAAATCTCATGTATCATTGAACTAAATGAATGCTTCAAATCTCATGTATCATTGAACTAAATGAATGCTTCAAATCTCATGTATCATTGAACTAAATGAATGCTTCAAATCTCATGTATCATTGAACTAAATGAATGCTTCAAATCTCATGTATCATTGAACTAAATGAATGCTTCAAATCTCATGTATCATTGAACTAAATGAATGCTTCAAATCTCATGTATCATGTTACGTTTCAACGTTGACTTTTGGATTAAGACGGAAATCAAGATTGTCGGAACTCGGACATTTTTCAAATTTTTTTTTTTTTTAAGCATTGGTTTTCCCCACAAGGTTAAGAAATAAATAGGACATGGTGTATTGTCTGAATGGTTACTACTAAAGAATGGCTTCTGTATTCAATATATGTATTTGTTTACAGGGAAAATTTTAGAGTTGTTTTGGTTTTATGTTCTGAGTAGTTCCACTCCATAGACTTAAGGTTATGATGACACAGTGACTCAATCAAGTCTCTTTAATAGTTCATCTCTTTAATCGTTATCATTGGCATTAGCTCAAAGCAAACACAAATCGAAAGAGCTAAAACTATTAAATGTAACAGTTGTTGTTGTTTACTTCGCAAATACAATGTTGACGCATCATTAACGGCTCCTTTCCCTTGATGCGTGGCAGAATATGTTTTATAGGGCACTGTCCCTAATTCATTCTTTGATTCGGATGTGACGGCTGGTGCAGTTGATGACGGTGATGAAGTAGCTTTTTTAAGAACGCATTCGTCTTTCACAGCGATCATGTCGTGACCATGGCAACAGAGGGTGTTTTGATCGCCGTTACATGCTCGTGCTTCGTAGTTCTTAAACATGTTGATCCCCAGACCGCACACATCGCACCGTCTGCACTCAGACTGGCAGGGTTTTCCTGGTACGTTTCTTCTATAATATCCGTCTTCACACTTGATCTTTGCGTCTCTTGTCTTGGTGCACGACTCTACAATAATCTCGTACTAAAATTTTGGATAAGAATGTAATAACTATGTATTAGTGTATAATTAAATTTAAGAGCATTCTACAAATAATTACGTTGATTATAGTTCAGTTGTGACATGGATTATATTTTAAAAATCTAATTCTACATTCGCCAGTAACTTACATGTCATTGATCTTCAACGTGTAAAGCTGCAATTTTACTCCCGATTCCAATTCAAGGACCATAAATGTTCTTTACACATTCAACTCAATCACACCGCCGAATTTTTTTTTAAACCCTTGCTATCACATTTTGTTAACATAAAATATTGTCCCATTTTTTGTCAACATTTCTAAAAAATACATGTTTTTGGAACGCCCACGAATATCAATTTAAAAATTGTGTATAAACATTTAAAAACAAAAAAGTATTTTATTACAATATGTATTAAATAAATTATCTGCAAACGAAAGTGGCATCTAGAATTCAAGCTTTTTTTTTTCATTTTTTTGTCTGACTAATATTACTTTTGAAAAAAATCTGGATAGCAATAATCGTATTGCTGATAGTAGAAACGATATTTTATTGAAATGTAGAGCATACCATCTGTGGTTCATAGCAAGTTTCGCAAGTCAAGTAATCTCTATCTTGCGCCATCTTCGCTGTCATAAAGGTGCCTTCACTACAAGGTCTACATTCGAACCAGTCCAGATACTCTCCTTCTCCACAGACATTTGGCTGGATATCTGAGCTTGACCTGACTCTCCCCAGGCTTGAAGGCATGGGCATCGACCTGGAGGGTATGTTTGGGTCACATACGGGTTTTAAAGTTGGTGCTGGCATTACTGTAAAGATAAGATAAGATATAATTCTTTAATGATACAAGTAGGTGGAAATGCACTTTGATTACGTCGGACATATTCATTTTCTGCACATAAATAAATTCAAATTTTAACCAAGACAACACTTCACAATTAAAACCATTGAAACACAAGACATCAAGTATTCTCTGGCGAAAAAAATCTGCCATTAATGAACTCCCTTGGGGACAATAATGACTTAATTAGTGATCCTTTAGATTTAGTAGCCGCTGATTGGCGTCTGGGTCACGCTGGTAAATCCGTACAGAATGGGGAACAAAATATTTTCTTTTTACATCTTTCGGTCCTGACTTTAAGGGAAAGAATGATCTCTTATCGAGCTGATCAGTATCTATGAAGAAGAATGTGGAATGTATCAGAATATTTTTTTTAGTTGTACAGCAGCTATTTTCTTCGGTTAAGTCTTCAGGGGAAGGATGAGAAGTTTATGTGATATTTCTAGCTTTCTTGATGAGTCTATTTGATCAGTCTATTTGATCAGTCTATTTGATCAGTCTATTTGATCAGTCTATTTGATCAGTCTATTTGATCAGTCTATTTGATCAGTCTATTTGATCAGTCTATTTGATCAGTCTATTTGATCAGTCTATTTGATCAGTCTATTTGATCAGTCTATTTGATCAGTCTATTTGATCAGTCTATTTGATCAGTCTATTTGATCAGTCTATTTGATCAGTCTATTTGATCAGTCTATTCGATCAGTCTATTTGATCAGTCTATTTGATCAGTCTATTTGATGTCAGACGATGAACTCACACACCAGCAGGTAGTATTGAAATTTATTTTAAATTACGTACGTGTCGTTGAAGTTTAAAAATGTTCCGAGGATTTTTAATCCTGCTCTACTAAAAATCAAATTTCATGTGTTAATAACTGCACGAAATTTCTGAAGCCATCAAACGATAGTGCTATGTCTAATAGTTTAGCGTCCATAGCGTCCATAGCGTCCATAGACAGTATACTTTTTAAAGCCACATGTGATCTGGATGCGGGTTTGAAAGAGTTCCAAATTTAATTTTTTTTTTAGATTGTAAAAGGTATCGGTAGAACAGATGCAATGATTTTTCTCTTTTTTTTTTTTTTTTTTTTTTTTTTTTTTTTGCGCCGTGGTATGTTATACTTGCGGAGCCCACCCGGTAGTCTAGTGCCGCTACTGTCCTGGGTTTGGATCTCATGGCTTTTACTTTAACACAAAGAGCCGCGTTGGCTCATTGGAGACTTGATTCAAACTAAAAATAAGATGAGGTTTCTGGATGCAGCCAATTTAAAAACCAGACTCTTTTACTGGAACATTTTTTAAAAAAAAATTAAACTTCTTATGGACCAGTACACTACCCCTTTAGGCTACCCCTTTACGCTACCCTTTTTCATTACTCTTTTACTCTGCCACTTTTGAATTACACTTTGCACTACCCCTTTACACTACCCCTTTACACTACCCCTCAAAACTAGTGCGCAAAAGGAGAAGCATTACATCTTTTTTGAAAAGATTGGCTAACAACAACTATCAGTAAATTGTTAACGTCCCATGTTTCAAAGGCTAAAATTTATTATATTCTATCATACTAAAACTATTTGAGAACCACTGGGCTTGGGTTTTGGCTTGTGCGAAATTTTCACAGACTTAACTCAACCCCCCCCCCCCCCCCCCCCCCCAAAAACTCAGTGGCAAACCTTGAATAAATGTCGCCTGAAATTTTGGGAGTACGCCACTAACAAATAAAAACTCACATAATTATATACAATTATTTATAAAGCTGAAAAGTCCCACACCCCCCCCCCTGGGCCGTCGCTCCTTCTCAAACGAAAACCCCTCCTTAAAACACACACACAACCCTGACCTACTTCTCAGGTATTTTTCTCAGTAAGAGATGTTTCTTAGAAATTTTGATAACTTTATCTCTTACGGAGCCCCACCGGCTGACACATGACACATCAATGGTCATTTAATGTAAGATCTTTTTTTGGGGTTTTTTTTTTTTAAATTTTGAATAGACGATGATATTAAGCAAACACCAAAACGTACATATCTGCCTGGGAACACGCCTGATAACTATTTCACTCAGTTTCAATGCTGTGCTTGACACGGATGCAGGGATTCTCGAGCTGTCTCGGAGTTTGATAGTTCTTTTCACCGTGACAATGTTAAGTGGCCATTTCCAAGCATTGCGCTCGCAGGCGCTGTGGCTGTCTGAGCAGCAGAGCGTGTTACCACGGCTGGCACAGGGACGCTTTTCATGTTTGGGGTGCAGGTTTGTCACTACACCGCCAACGTCACGAGGGCTGCATTCCCAACAGCAGGTGCACACCTTGGAGATATCACAGCATGGTCTGTAGAATTTCACCTTACAGAGGAAACTGGCGTCTCCGGTCTTGGTACACGGTTCACCGACTATTTCACACTGTGTGTTTAAATATAAAAGTGTAGATGCTATTTGTCGGCAAAATGCAAATTTAAATCAATAGATAAATATTTTTTTAAAAATTATTTAATAATAATAATAAATTAGGAAAAAAAGATTTAAAAAAAAAATAATGTTCCTTTTAATTTAAAAAAAATAAAATAAATAGAAGTTAGTGAAACGGTAAAATCTTTAAAAAATATTTAATTAAAAGTTACAGAGTAACTTGCATGTCATTATCCTGCACCGTGGCAAGTGGGATAAGAATCTCCTTGCTGCATTTCAACATGTTCATTGATTCGAACCAACCAGGAATTGTTTAGTCGATATTAGGATCTCAATGCTAGTAGCAGAAATAAAAAGGTTAAGGACATTTACAAAGAATGCCAAATGACAGAGCAGTGAAGAGTGTGCAACCCAAAAAAAAAAACACAAAAAAAACATGACAAAATGACTCAGATGAAGACCGAGGCTTAGAAGGATGGATGATGTCGGAAACAGATCTACTGCAGCTGGGAATCAAAACGTGGAAGAGAAATGCATCAGTTAGGTCTGAGTGGACGGTTGTGGTGAGACAGGCCAAAGTCCTAGATGGACTGCAGCACAACTGAGAATGATGGATTTGGTCTGGTTATTCAAGTTTCTACCCTCCCCCACCCCACAAACCCTGAAAGAAGTGGACTCTAAATTTTGGAAATCAATTTTGATTAAAATATTAATTGCAGACCCTACAAATGAAAAAAACAAAACAACTTTGAGCAGTTAAATAGTCCTACAATGTTACGAAATGTTCTAAATAGCATGTTTGATGAATATTTGGGTGCTTTTTTTTACATTTTGTTTTAAAGTCTTGGGGCACCCCTTCATGGATCAATTTATTGCGTTAAGCACCCGATTATTTAAATGAAACGTCTTTATTTGCATTTTAATTACAATTCTACGTGTTACTCTTTTACGTGAACGTGTGTTATCTCCCTTACCGTTACTGCAAGACGCTATTCCAAGTAACACATTTAACGCTAAGGGGTTGCACTAAGGATGAGTTTACGACATCATACGGGCCTTGGCCTAAAGTAATTGAGAACCACTTATCTTAACAGACCAATCGCTTGAGTGTATTCAAAAAATAAATCATTTTTTTTATACCATTGTTCACACAAAAGGTAATGTTTATCTGATGCCTTGGCTTTTTCTAACACAAAGCTCGCATCTGTACATGGCTTACAACGGCTACTTTCCAAGTGGTAGTTAGTTAGTGCTCAGCTTACACGTGGTTTGTTTTATTAAAATATAACGTACTTTTCTTGGCTGCGGTCTAAAAAGTAGATCAGTGACACAGACTTCAATTCGAGTATTGAGCACGATAAATAACAGAACGTTAATGAAAGTGTCAATTCTTCTTCTTTTACTGCAGAATTCAACTGCTGCAAATGAAAATAATTCCATTTTTTTTTTTTTAAATCAAAGTTACTATGTAACAATGAATTAATAGCTGAAATCGTCCCTCGACAAACACGCGTTGTGATAACTAATAGCTGGCATTCGGCCAAAATGATTTCTCGAACTATATTAAAACGATATTTATACAAACAACCCGTTGTGATGTGGTTTGACGAGTCTCGTAGGTTCTAGTTTATTCTCTAGTTCTTTTTATACTAAGACAAGCCCTTGCTCGTTTACCAGATATTTCTCATAAAACTTGACAAGTCCAAACTAGTGCAACAACTCGTGCATTGACAGCTGGAATATTTTCCAGGGAGTACTTCATTTTATTGGATTAAGGGAAACATTTAGAACTATTTTATAAAATACTATAAAAATGTCAAATAAGTTTCTGTCTTTCCATTGCCTTTGGAAACAAATTATTCCATTTTAGGGAAGTTGGCTTGCTTCGAGGGATGGGATGGGATGGGGTGCAATGCCCACCTCTTACCCAGGAATGCCTTAAATAAAAGCTTTTTGTAAATATAAATAAATAATACCAACTATAGGTGAACAGCGGGAAGTAGCGGTGCGACTCAAATTTAAACCAAGAACTGACTTTTTTTTTTTTTTCGCCGCGGGGGGGATACGGTTTTTAGAATTGGACTGTTACGTACCGTTGTGGATCTGAAGATTTTAACTGATTTTGGTTCATAGAATAAACACTACGTAAAAAAGGGACTGGAGAAACAAGTATGCAAAGAAAACGATACTATATTTAGTGATACTAACAATATTCAATATAATTATACATCATATGTCTATAAAAATGTAAATTCGAATACATGACACACACAAAAAAACGGTATCACCTACAGTAGAGCCCAGCAAGTAGAAGAGGTGCACTCCTCAAAAATACAAGTATTAATTTACAAACAATCATTTAAATAACTTCTCGTATATGTTAGGCAATATAGCAAAGGTCACTCACACAAACACTCACTCTCTCTCTCTCCCTCCCTGTCTCTCTCTCTCTCTCCCTCTCCTCTCTCTCTCTCTCTCTCTGTCACTATCTCTCTCTCTCTCTCCCTCCCTCTCTCTCTCTCTCTGTCTCTCTGTCTCTCTCTCGCTATATCTCTGAAAGAAAAACCGCACAAGAGCCAACCAATATAAATTTGTTCAAGAAATGCAAATGCAACATCTACAGTCTTTAATTACTCATGAGATGCGTATGTTTTGGCAATGAATAATATAAATAATAAAGTTCAATCCCTGAAAAAAGTGTTTTACTTAAAATGCCATGCAACATTATATTGCAGAGGCTTGCAGGTTTACGCCAAACACTAATCTTCAGCAAAGATGGGTTTTAAAAAATTTATTCACCGTTTTTTTTTTTTGTTTCGAAAATACTAGAAGGGATATTTTCAAATCTTGCTTCTGGTTATTACTAATGTTAGCTTGACAATTTGACACTGAGATTATTGAATTTCTAACACTCGCAGTATATTTCCTGTCTTGACGTGTCAGTTTTTTTTTTGTTTTTTTTTAGTTATTCCTCCCCTATCGCCTTGTCGTGTTACTTTCTAATTATCTAGTCTGTCCCCCCCCCCCCCTAATCTTTTGTTTTTCCCATATTTTTTCTGTCTTGACGTGTCAGTTTTTTTTTTGTTTTTTTTTAGTTATTCCTCCCCTATCGCCTTGTCGTGTTACTTTCTAATTATCTAGTCTGTCCCCCCCCCCCACTAATCTTATGTATTTCCCGTCGTGACCTCCTGCAACAGAAACCTGCCCGCATACCGAAAATTCAAGTTATGTTCAATGTTTAATATTTACATATAAAGCGTACAAAGTCGTTTCAATAATATTTCCGCTTGTGTAAGCGGGTCTTCATTATTCTGTAAATAATGTTACACACTAAGAATGTGAACAGGCATGTCATACCTGAGTCAGGCGTCGTATGCCTGGTAAAACCTTGGTCCCATTCAACTCTTAGAACAAATTAAAGAAATAAAACTAAAAATTCTAAAGGACAAGTACAACACGTTTACCAGGGATTCTTAACCATTTGCAGCGGCGCACCCCCATGTCGTTGTTATAATGTTTCCATCATTTCCAGCAACCCTAACCCAACGGGTATAAAGCAGTTGCAATGGTTACATAAATGCTGACAATTCTAAATAATTATTATTATTATTTTTTAATGTTTGAACTGTAAGATGACAGATGGGCGTTGTAATAAAATGTCTCTTGACATGTACATTAACTTTCAGCAGATATATCACCTGTACAGTTACTTATAAATAATGACAAATATAATCTGTTCCTATTTTTTTTTATTCATTTATGTTGATTTGTATTAAGATTTGTAGCTATTTTTTTTTCATCTCGCCACGTCCAGAAGTTTTTTGTTTATGTTTTTACGACCAAATTTCATGCTCTTCCACGAACACCCTCGCTCCCCCCTCCCCCCCCCCACCGCCCCACCCGGCATTGCTTCTCCTGATTTAGACAAGCTCACACACACGTGGTCTGTCGAGCAAAACAAGTTCTCGATTGGATCAGTCATGCGTAGCCGTGACCCGGCATTGCTTCTCCTGATTTAAACAAGCTCCCACACCCGTGGTCTGTCGAGCAAACCAAGTTCCCGATTGGATCAGTCATGCGTAGCCGTGAAATCAACACGTCATACTTTTTTTTTTTTATTCAGAAAAAAATCTGTGACTTGAGAAGACATAATAATTCATTTTAAAATACTTTTGAATGTTTAAAGATTTTATGTACATGCTATAAAAAATGTAGATATATATATTACATGTATATATATATATGTATATATCCAGACATATACAGATGGCGTAACTGGGGATTGGTGTCTTAACCCCCAAGCCCCCTTTTTTTAAAATGCCCTTTTTTGTTTTTTTTTTAAATTTTCATTTGATTTTTCCTTTTTTTTTTCCCATTTTGGTACAATGGTATTAACAAAAAAAGCAGACCTATACTTCATGATGTACAATATTTATTAAAATGTAAAACACCATTGATTTCTTTTTTGTTTATCCAGGAAGTGAAGTGGGGAAATGGCCTCTTCGGTCATACTTTCTAATGTTACTTATTATTCACAAGTTACCTGAGACTTAAAATAATTACCTTTGACGTCTACTGAGTACAAATTTAATAGAAGACGTGCTAACATTCGTGATATATAATTCTGCCAAATCCTACCAATCCATGTTTTCAAAGCAATTTTTTTTTCAGTAAACACATCTTTAAAAAAAATATAATTGGGAAAAAATATAAAAAGAAGACAGTGCAAAGCAAAACATTTTATTTAATGATCTGGTGATATTAAGCTGCAATTCCACCGAAACTGTCAATTCTTAAATTTTCACTAGAACATTGTCAAATAAACCCCAAGAAAAAATCTTTTTAGAGTCACTATTGCCAGTTCATGGTCAGCACAGCGTTTCTCAGAGTTCCTTCCCCCTTTACCTCGCCCCCAGGGAGCACAGAATTTTTCATTAGGTCTAGGACAAAATGTAGGGGAAAAGGGTGATTTAATGTATATTAAAATAGCATGTTTTA